GTAAACAAGGAATAATTTTGTAACAAGTATGCCCCGTGTAATATTTTGGCTAAATCTGGAACTCCTGCCCTGCACCGGTGTGGCTCAGTGGGTTGGGCGCTGTTCCACAAAGCAGAGGGTTTCTGGCTCCCTCCCCAGCCAGGGCGCATGCCTGGGTTGTGGGTTTGGTCCCCACCCCCCGGATGGAACACGAGAGAGAGGTGATCAATCAATGTCTCTCTCTTACCAGAGATGTTTCTCTCCTTCTCTCTGTCTGTCTCTCCCTTCCCCTCTCTATAAAAATAAATAAAAATCTTTTGTAAAAAAACCTGGAAATCCATAGGTTTATACTATAAAGATTCCCCGAGCCTGCGCCCAGGGAGCCTGCCGCCGTATAACCAGGGCAACCCTGCGGTGGGGAAAGGAATACCGAGACTTGCTGGTAGTGGCCTTAAATGGTCGGCGTTCTCTGGGAACCCGAAAATTCACCCTAGCCCACCAGTCTGGTGGGAGCCAGAGCAGGTCCTCCACCAACTAGTCAGTTAGGCCCAGGGCAGGACTTCAGCAGCCTCTTTTCTACCTCAGTGATCTTACCTTCGGCAACCTCCCAGAACTGCTGAATCCCGGGATTTCAGAGTCACTGGGTTGCTGTAGAGTCTCGCCATCCAAGTGTCCTGCCATCTGACTCCGGAGTCCAGGGTGACCTCAGTGCTTTGCCACCTCATCGTCTCACACCAGGGGGCTGGCAGGGGTCTGTCCATGCGCTGAAGTCCATAGTCAAGGAAAGCAGCTCAACGGGAAGCTCTGATATGTGTATCAGATTACAACTGAAATCACTCCGGGAAGCAGAGCTGAGGCACCTGGTACTAAGACTTCTTCCTGTCCGACACATTTTATTGTTTAAGGCTCTAGCGGGGTGTCCAAACTTTTGGCGTCTCTGTGCCACACCAGAAGAAGAAGAGTTGTCTTGGGCCACACATTAAATGCATTGCGACACGTCATCACACAAAAAAATCTCATCGTGTTTTAAGTAAATTTGTGATTTTGTGTTGGGCTGCAGGTTGGCCGCCCCTGCCTAAGGTGTACCAGCCAGCACAGGGCAGTCCCTCCACTTTACAGAACGGATATCCAACTGCTGGGGAGGGGCGGGGGCGGGGGGGGGGGGGCGGCCAGGAGGAAGAGAGCCTTCCTGCTGTGTCACCGAGGGGCAGAGTCTGCCCCCCACCCCATCAACACTGCCAGGGCTCCTTTACTTTCTCCTTCACGCCACTTGCCCTCCCACCTCTGTCCTTGCTTGTGAAAGTCCCACCCACCTGCCATGTTGTCCTTTCCATTTGGCCCAAACGGATCCTGTGAGCCCCGCCTTAAACTGTGTCCTGGCAACGAAGGCTCCCTCACCTCCAGAAATTTCCAAGGGGACCGAAGCTCACTCTGCAAAGGGTGGTCGGTGGCCTTCCAGGGCAAGCCCCACGCCTTCTGTTCCAGGCACAGAAGTCATCGTTCTGGGCGCTGTCTGGACCAGCACACAGTCAACCAGGGGTACGTGATGGCGGTCCAGGGTCTTAGAAGCCATTGGGACCCTCCTCTGCGGGAAATGAGTGTATAACTACCTGCCAAACCAGACAGGGGCCACCGGGGCTGTGCCAGGAAACCGAGGTGAGCAGTCTCCCTGCTCAGTGGGATCGGCCTCTTACCATTTCTTTGGTTGCCTGTTCAGAGGCTCCCAGTGTCTGAATTTGCTTGCTCTTTCTTTTCTTTTTTTCTCTTTTGGGAATTCCTAGGGTAAATACCCGGGACTGCCCTTTCCCATGACTAAACAGACACGGAAAATCTTGTATTTGGTACACAGTGTAGCTGTGGAAAAAAAAAAAAAAACAGAAGTTTTTCTGTAAGGTCAGCACTGCAGGGGCAGAGACATTTTTATGGTTTTTTAAAAAAATACATGCTGACTTAGAATACTTGGAAAGTATCTCTTAAACAGCATAAAATTATTATACAGCCACTTGCACACTTAGCATTAGCATATAATCACAGAAAAAAATATTGTTGGTCTTTCTTTTTCCATGTGGAAATGTGAGGAATTTTACTAGCTACTGGTTGGTCTTAGATTTGTGTGTTAACATTATGACAGAAACCTCGTCAAAGTCATTATCTACCCATCAACTGCTTGATTTCTCAATGGCCGGCTACACAGCGAGCCCACAACTTGCTACTAGTCATTCACTCTATTTCACTGGGGTTGCAGGTCACGCCACCCCACACGTGATAAACCTTTATCAGCATCTCTGTTTACATCACACACAAGGAGGCTGGATTGCTTGGATCAACAGTAAGAGCAGCTTCAGGCTACAAAGACAAATGTATTTCAATATACTTGTTGAAATACAAGTATTTCACATATAATGAAGTTTACAAATCTTACTGACACAGCTCAGTTGCCTTTTAATCTACAGAACCACACACACCTCAAGACTAACATTTCTGTCCTCCGTATCTTGTATCTTTCACAACTCAACGCTTCGTCTCCTAGAGGTCATCGCTCGTCTGACTCTGTCAAAACTGATTGCCTAGTCTTGAAATTCATATAAAAGGAATCCTGTGGCATGAAGTGGCATGCATTTGGGGGTCCGAAGTCTTATGTTTAATGCTTTAAAATAAAAAGTCAATGCTTTATTCTTTTGATTGCCAAGTATAAACACACCACAGTTTGTCTGTCTGTTCTCCTCTTTGACAGACCATGGAGTGCTTCCCGGTTGGGGCTGTCAGGAACAGAGTTGTAAACATTCCTGTTCAAACCTCTTGTGTTTGAATGAATTCATTTGTCATAAACGTTTACTTAGAAGTGGACTGAGTCATAGAATATATGTATGTTTAGTTTGACTAGAAACTGCTAAACAGGCAGTTTAGTTTGACTAGAAACTGGCTACAGTCACAGCCTGTAGCCAACTGTCAGCTTCTGCAGAGGGTGATGCTGGAAGTGAGCCCAAGAGGACTCCCCAGTCCGTTGCCCCGATGTTGACAAGGGAATGATCTGGAGCTCTTGGATGCAAACCAGTTAATGTCAGGATGTGGATTTTCGAAACACAGATATTCACTTTAGGGCCCATGAAACATCAATAATTGAGTAAGATGCTGTATGACTTGATACAGCATGTTTAATGTCATTGAGGTCATTTGGATTTGAAATATGCCGGTGTAACCCCAGGGCACAGCCGGCCAGGCAGCCCCTGGGGGAAGCACCTAGGCTGCGTCCTGCACGGTGGCCTGCTGTTGGTGCAGGGGGAGCCTTCCTGCCTTTGGACTTTGGGGCTGGTGGCCCGGGGACTTCATGAAGCCCAGGGCTCAGGTCTCCAGAGCTAACTTGGCCTAGAGACCATGGAAGAACAAGGTTAGAACAAGGTTAGTATGTATATAGCCTCCCATACACTGTGGTATTTCTTTAGCTACAAAAGCAAAGAAAACAAAGCCTATCTCTGGACTGGTGATGTTGCCGAATTACAGGACTTACAGGCGGTTGCCAATAGGCGGGGCTCCCACCGGCCTGACTGTTTTAATTCTAGGCACTTTACCGCCCCACCCTACCCAAGCCAACAGACGATGCCAAGGTTCAGAAAGCTGTGGCTCCCAGAGTTAGAGGTCATCTGCCAACCCGCCTCATTTCTTGCTTGTGGTGTGGTTCCTGTTCTGGTTTTGTACGGGGTGTGTTGAGACCAGGGGGAGAACCCGACTTGTCCTCAGTGACACAGAGGGTCAGGGTCAGCTCTGGGGTCAGGAGCCAAGTCTCTAGCCTGGCGGTGCTTCCAGGTGCACTGGAGTTGCGGCCTCTCCACACCATCCCCCCTGCACCCCCCACAGGCCCTGAGGGGCGGGGCCAGCAAGGCAGTGACCCTCTCTCCCTCGGCGAGAGCCTGGCCTCCGTGGGCCTCTGGTCTGGAAAGGAGCCAGCTATGCTTGCAAAGTACCAGGAATTTGGATCCTAAGAGGCTGTTAAAACAAAGGCGGTCCCATGCCTTCAAATGGAGGTTTGGGAGTCCTCGGGATTGGGGTGAGGAGTGTGGCGATGGAGATAAATCCATTCTGTGTCTCCAGGGTGCCGGCCCCCTAAAGGCACAGCTGCTTTGCAAGGTTATGAAAGAGGGGTCTGTGTCCCGGGGCAGTTATTCTCCTTCCACTACAACAGTTGGCAGATCACTGTCTGGCCCATTCTTCCCAACTGCGCCCCCTACCGCCCTCCTGCTGCATCCAGGTCCCCGTCCCGTCTGCCCCACCGCTGCCGGGCCTTCCATCTCTCCCTGTCCCCTCCTCTCAGACCCCAGGCTGTTCTTCCCTGAATGTGACCCTGCTCTCCCACTTCTGAACTTTTCATGTTCCCTCTTGCCTACTAACTTCCCACCTGAAATTCCAGAGCCCCACAATCGGACTCCAACCCATATTTGTAAAACTCCAAGCCCCTCTGTCTACGCAGAGCTCATCCTGATGGGATTCTTTCCCCCAGTTCACACCCCTCCTCTCCTTCCTGTACCGGGTCCAAAGTACTCCCCCCAGTTCCCACCACATGCCCCCTCTCAAGGCCGGCCCTGTTGAAGCCCCATCTTCAGTGGAAAGCTGTATGTACAGCTCTAGGTGGTAAACATCCGCTTTGCTCCTATATCACACTTCCATTCTGGAGGATTGCCCTGGGTTGGAGAGAATTAATTAGGTGGCGGAAACCTGGGGTTACACGGAAGAGTTTGAAGACTGTTGCAGGAGATCAAGAGAGAGGCCGGCAAAATTAGGGGCAGTGAGAAAAAATATGGGAATGCAGACTCTGTTGAGTCAGGGCTGGGCGTGTTCGGGACTGGAGCCCAGGGCTGAAGCAGTTTGATCCGTTCATGCTAGGTTCTCCCTGATGCTCAGTTGAGTCCAGAAGACGTCCTAAAGGCTGGCCCCCTCCTCCAAACCCCCACCCGTTGCTGACATTGTCTCCTCCCAACTAAATGTTACCCCATAAAAAAAGAGCCCAAGTCGTTTAAAATTATACATACTTTTATTAGAAAATCCCAAAGTTTTCTAATAACATTAATTTCATTGACAACATTGTATGGCATCCATTTACAAAAGCCCTGTTTTTTTAAAAAAAATACAAAGAGTTTCTCTCTGACGGTCCGTGGAGGACTCCACAGTCCTAAAGGCAGGGAAGAGGGCAGACAGGTGTGTCGTCGTGAACCCAGCGGGGCTCGCAGGACAGAAAACACAGACCGTGCGTGTGTCAGGCTTTATGGCTGATAAAGTTAAGACGTCAATAACTTAAATATAATTAAATATTATTTAAGAGAGGTTGTGTTTTAAATTATTAACCAAAGTAATACTTTTGTACATTCTAACAGAATCATAGCACTCTGCATCGGGGGAGGCTGAGGGAAAATAAATAAGATTGTCCTCAGGGGCCGACGGTCTCTCCACCCAGGTGCGAGGGTTCACGGCTTCGGAGCTTGGGCCTTCCTGTCCAGGTACTTGACGGAATCCTGGACCCACTTGTCCTTGGGGTCAGCACAGATTTCCTTGTCCTTCTTGCTCAGGAAGCTGTGGGCACAATTAGATGGAGCGTTTTGAGGATTTTGCCTGAGAGTGTGACCCGTGGGTCCCCAGACCCAATCAGCCCTTGCTCCCTGGGTGAGGGGCCCCGATGGGAACAAGAGGAAAGGGAATCATGGGAGAAGAAGTTCTAAAGGGATCTTGCTCTCGCTGTCCCTGGGGAAGCCCTCCAGGCTCCTGGCTGAAGAAACTTGGGTGATCTGAGCACACCCCCAGCAGGGGAGCCTGGAGGAAGTGTGGATTCCTCCTCCTGCACTTAGTTTCTCCACGGTGTAAAGGGCCCTTTGAATTATGAGACGATGTGTTTATGTGACCCATTCGGACATGACCTTGACCTCTCTCCCTTGTCCACAGCTCAGATAGAACTCTTGGCTCAGGGTGTCAGGACGGGGTTCACTCACATCACAGCTTCCTGGGGACACTGGCTGTTGGTGACCCTGGTGTAATTCTTCAGATTCTGGATGCGGATCTTCTTACTGTACATATTAAAGCAGCAAGTGACTGGGCTGGAAACGGAATCTGAAAAACATTTTGCGAAGAACGAGACAGTTAGGATGTGTCTGTGTCGTGAGCAAGCATTCATAAGGGGGAAGGAGGAGATGAGGGGGACGGCAAAGCAGACACATGAGTTCCAACTAGGACTCATCATTGCCAAGTTCATTGCCTTAGTCTAGCTCCCTCGGATAGAATGTTACCCATGAGTCGGTTTCCTGGGTTGGACTGAGGAACCTCCAATTATTGACTAGGAAGGGGAAGATCTTGAGTAACAGGGCTAACCCTGTGGTGTTATTACAAGGGGCTACTGATCCAATGCCTCTGACCTTGGAAAGATAAGTTCTGAGACCTCACTCCCCAGCTTTTTGTCCCTTTGGCATTGGAGCCAACCACGCGTCACCCGCTGGGATGCCTCTGGACACAGCCTCCGCTCCACAGCCCCACGGACCTTAACCCCAAACTTGAAACCTCCAGTCTGTTCCTCCTCCCCACCGCTTCCTGAAATGCCCTTCCTGTCCACAACAAGAAATAGTCCCTTTTTCCTGGGCCACATCCCCAAACAGTGGGAAGGCTATTGAACTAGTGGCTGCATTTAGTGTCCCAAAGCTGGTACCAGGAAAGGTCATAGGAACTGGCCTCAGTAGCCTGGACGTCCCTTTCCAGCTCTGCCTGCAACTGGCCGGCACATGATGGCTCCGCTCCTTTCCCCTCCTGGTTTTCCTTTCTCTATCTCAGGCCGCGGAGCAACCCTGGCGTGACTCATGCTGGGGTGTTGGTACCCACAGCAGTTACAGTGAATGGTAAGCCCGAGGAAGAGAAGGGCCTCACCTGGCTGAGCGAGCACCAGGATGCTGAGGGTGGCTGCTGTGAGCAGCAGGCACAGCAGGGCTGCGGAGACCTTCATGCCGGAGGGTGCCGGTGTGTGCTTCGGCGTGGAGCTGGAGGTTTCTGGATCGGCTTGAACCCCTCTGCGCCTGTGTCCACTCTGGCCATTCCGTATGCCTTTTATAAGGCTCAAAGCGCCTGGGCCACGTCATCCTCAAGGAAGGGTGAAGTAACACCTTGAATGTGCTGAGTAGGCACCAGACCCTGGGGATGATTTCCAAACACTGACATAAGGAAGCTGTGGGGTTTCTATTTTGGCTCAGCCTAAGTGGAGCCGAGATGGAGCGGAAAGGGGATGTGGTCGTGCCCAGTGGGGTGTGGAAAGTGTTCTCTTTAGGCTATTATGGGCTGCCATTTCTTTGAAATGGAAAAAGATCTGTTCGAAAGGGAGAATGGAAACTGATGTCATAGTGGAACAAAGAGAATCAAGGGTTTGACCCTTCCCAGGGCCCAGGAGGTTGGAGCTGGGGCCCTAAGCTCGGCCTGTATTCTCTGCCAGACTCAGGTCCCCGACATCCTGGGCTAGTCAGGCTCCTCGGAAACCCACTCAGGTAGCTTGGTGGAACCTTGGCAGAATGGTAGAATCGGGAATCTCCAAGTCTCAGTGTCCTGGAACATTAGGTGCTGGACAGCACCTGCCTTCGTTCGAAGGTGGCGGTTTCCGAATATTTCATTCAAACATTAAAGTTTCTTTCCAAGTGAGATCATATGGAGAAGCCCAATATTTTACACAGGTTCATGCAGAACAGGTGTGCTTGAGAACGATCTCCCAATGCCCTTCACTCGTACATAGTGAGGGGTAGGTGGGGGTGCAAAAGGAAGAACCTAGGTTTGCAAACCACTGGCCTCGTCTACTCTCCCATCACGTACCTACCGACAATATTTTATAGACATTTTACCGCCCTAAAAATTCCCCACGTTTCCCCATATTCCTCCTTATTCCTCTCCCCACCAGTTCTGGAGCTACTATTAGTCTTTTCACTCGTCTGCATAGGTCTGCCTCACAGTATGGAGCATTTTCAGACTGGCTCCTTTCATTAAGAAAAGGGCGTTTAGCCCTGTCTGGTGTGGCTCAGTGGATTGAGCCTGGGCCTGGGAACCAAGCAACCACGGTTCGATTCCCAGTCGGGGCACATGCCTGGGTTGCAGGCCAGTTCTCTCCCTCTCTCCTTCCTTTCCCCTCTAGAGATAAATAAATAAAATCTTTAAAAAAAAAAAGAAAAGAAAAGGGCGTTTAGGTTTCCTTCCTATCTTTTTACGGTTTGCTAGCTCATCCTTTCTCTTCTTAATGCTGTTCATGTGATGAATTACTATATGCACTGATTTTCAATTGATTTCAAATTGTTTTGTATAATTGTTTTTGTATATCTGTGTTTAATCTGCTGATCTTTTGTTGAGGATTTTTGCATCTGTGTTCAAGAGGTAGTTCTGTGGTTTTCAGTTGACCTTTTCTTCTGTTGTAATGTCTTCGTATGGTTTTGGTATTCAGGTAATGTGGGACTCAAAATAAATTAGAGAGCGTCATCTCTGTTTCTATCTTCTAGAATAAATACTGAAAACAAGGTGTCACTTGTTTTTTAAATGTTTGGTAGAATTAACAAGTATAGCCATCTAGGTCTGGTGCTTTCTCTTTTGAAAGGTTACTAACTGCTTATTAAATTTCTTTAAGACATATAAGCATATTCAGATTGTTGGCTTCTCCTTGAATGAATTTTGGTAGATGGTGTCTTTCAAGAAATTGGTTCACTTTTCTTCTCAGTCATCAAATTTGTGGGTATCGAGTTGTTAATAATATTCTTTTATCATCCTTTTATTGTCTGTGGGGTCAGTAGTGATGGTCCTTCATTTCTGATGTTAGTAATTTGTGTCTTCTATGTTTTCGTGCTTATCCTGACTAGAAATTGATCAATTTTATTGCTCTTTTCAAAGAACCAGCTCTCTATGGTTTCCTTATTTTCTTTTGTGTTTGTTTTTTCTTTTTTAAATAGAGTTTATTGATTATGCTATTACAGTTGTCCCATTTCCCCCCTTCACTCCCCTCTACCCTGCAGACCCCCTCCCACCCACATTTTCCCCCCTTTAGTTCATGTCCATGTGTCTTACTTATAAGTTCTTTAGCTTCTACATTTCCTATACTATTCTTACCCTCTCCCTGTCTATTTTCCACCTACCATCTATGCTACTTACTCTCTGTACCTTTTCCCCCGCTCTCCTCCTCCCACTGCCCTGTTGATAACCCTCCATGTGATCTCCATTTCTGTGGTTCTGTTCCTGTTCTAGTTGTTTGCTTCGTTTGTTTTTGTTTAGTTTGTTTTAGGTATGGTTGTTAATAATTGTGAGTTTGATGTCATTTTACTATACATGTTTTTTATCTTCTTTTTTTTAGGTAAGTCCCTTTAACATTTCATATAACAAGGGCTTGGTGATGATGAACTCCTTTAACTTGACCTTATCTGAGAAGCACTTTATCTGCCCTTCCATTCTAAATGAAAGCTTTGCTGGATAGAGCAATCTTGGATGTAGGTCCTTGCCTTTCATGACTGGGAATACTTCTTCCCAGCCCCTTCTTGCCTGTAAGGTCTCTTTTGAGAAATCAGCTGACAGCCTGATGGGGACTCCTTTGTAGGTAACTGTCTCCTTTTCTCTTGCTGCTTCTAGGATTCTCTTCTTCATTTTAATCTTGGCTAATGTAATGGTGATGTGCCTTGGTGTGTTCCTCTTTGGGTTCAACTTCTTTGGGACTCTCTGAGCTTCCTGGACTTCCTGGCAGTCTATTTTCTTTGCCAGATTGGGGAAGTTCTCCTTTATTATTTGTCCAAATAACTTTTCCACTTGTCACTCTTCCTCTTCTCCTTCTGGTACCCCTATAATATGGATGTTGGAACAATTAAAAATGTCCTGGAGGTTCCTAAGCCTCTCCTCATTTTTTTGAATTCTTGTTTATTCATTCTTTTCTGTTTGGTTGTTTCTTTCTTCCTTCTGGTCCACTCCATTGGTTTGAGTCCCAGTTTCCTTCCCATCGCTATTGGTTCCCTGTGCATTTTCCTTCATTTTGCTTAGTGTAGCCTTGATTTGTTCATCTAATTTGCAACCAAATTCAACCAATTCTGTGAGCATCCTGATCACCAGTGCTTTAAACTGTGCATCTGATAGGTTGGCTATCTCTTCATCACTTAGTTGTATTATTTCTCAAGCGCTGATCAGTTCTTTCATTTGGACCATTTTTTTTTTGTCTTGATGCACCTGTTATTTATGAGGGGTGGAGCCTTAGGTGTTCACCAGGGTGGGTCAACCCACATCACTGAGTTGTGACACTGTATGTGGGAAAGAAGTCTGAGAGGGAACAATGGCACTTGCTCTGCTCTCTGTTGGATTTCAGTCACTTCTGCTGCTTCTCAAAAGCAAACTGGGCCCTTCTGGTGCTGGTTCCCAAGTGGGTGGGGTTGTGTACATTCTAGGACCCTGTGGGTCTCTCCAACAAACTCTCCTGCAAGACTGGGAGTTTCTCCCAGCACCTCAACCCCCACGGGTGTTTTCAATCGGTACTTTGAGGCTGTTTTTTTCCAGCCCTGGAACCCTGGGTTGTGTGGTCTGTCTTGCTGCCCATTTTCATCTGGCTTATCTGTGGGTGAATGTGGGACCACCTGGTCCACCAGCCGCCTTGTGCACCTTGCCCTGCTCCACAATCCGTGGCCTATGCGCCCAGGGTCCACCAGCCGCTGCTTTGCCGAAAGTCCTCTCCACCCGGCCACCCGACTCTGCCCCTCCTACAGGTCTGAATAAATGTTTCTTCTTTAACTCCTTGGTTGTTGGACTTCCATACAGTTCAATTTTCTGTCAGTACTGGTTGTTTTATTGTTTCTAAATTTTTGTTGTCCTTATTTTGGTTGTGCGAGGAGGCACAGTGTGTCTACCTAAGCCTCCATCTTGGCCGGAAGTCCGGTTTCCTTCTTTTCGATATTATTAATTTCTGCTCTAATTTTTTTATTTCTTTTCTTCCGCTCTTCTTTTTTTCTAGTTTCCTAAGGTGGGAGCTTAGATGATTAATTCTAGATCTTTCTTTCCTTATACAAAATATGCATTCAATGTTACAAATTTCTTTCGAAGTATTGTTTTGCAGAACCCCACTGATCTTGATCAATTGTATATTTATTTTTATTCAGTTCAAAATATTTTGAAATTTGTCTGGAAGTGTCTTCTCAGAAGCATGTGTTACGTAGACCTAGGTTGTGTCTCCAGGTACCCAGGGACGTCTCTGTTATTGGCTTCTCCTTGAAGCCCACTGTGGTCTGAGACTGCACAATGAGGCACAATTTTTCCTCTTTTAAAAATGTTAAGCTATTGTGCGATCCGAAAGTGTTGGTTTCTGTTGTTGTTGTCAGGTGAGGTGGTCTACAGTTGTCCATTATAAGCCAGTGAAACATCATCATTAACGTCTCCATCCAATTCCACAGCAAAGAGATTAATAAATCAAAATGGGCAGCTATCCTTAAGGCTCTCAATCAAGTTAGAGAATCATCGCAGTGTTGGAGATTTTGCAGCTTTACTGAAAGGTGCATTTATGACCTTTACAAACATTTCACAGTTGCTAAGGAGGTATTTGCCTGTGGAAAGGGAAACTAACCTGCAAGACAGTGGCTTCCTTTGTGATGTGACATCCAAAGGGAGCCTTTGAGACCTGTGGTGGGGGCAGAGACCTCTGGGAATGCCCGGCATGGGGGGGGGGGGTGGATGAAGAAAGAAAAGGAGTGTCTCGGACGCAGGAGAGAATGGAGGTCCTGGGTCCTGGCAGGACCCAGAAGGGTGAATGCTGTGGGCCCTCAGAGGGGCTGGGGGTCAGGTCCCAGCAAGGGGCACCAGGGTCCTGGGTCTGCAGGGAGCTCGGAGACCTCAGCTGCTAAGTCACTTTGATTATGCAATTTCCCTCTGTTTTCCTTTTTTTAGACCAAGTTCCAGAAATCCCAACATAAAAACTTAAAACGAAACTGCCACTTAAGCAACTGCTCTGTCTAGAGTCCTGGCTCTGCCATTTAAGGAAGTGTTCGCTCTGCCTCTTTCTATTCTCCTCGGCTGTCTTCTTCCCAAT